CTGCACTCCAGTCTGGACGATACAGTGAGACTCCGACTCAAAAAAAAAAAAAAAAAAACACAAAAACAAAATATAGTATTTTGATCCTTAGCATCCTGTGCTCGAATTAACCATAGAGCCTTGCACAAGATAGACACTCAAAAATATTTGTTTATATTCTTTTTCTCCTTATAAGTAGTTGATCTTTAGGCTACTAAAGTAGATGTGGCTGTGCTATCAGTTTTTTTATATATTTAATATCATTATTTAATGATTTTATTTACCGATTTGCCATGCTGTTATACAAATATATAATTTTTAAAAAATTTTTTCAATTCTAAAGTGATTTCTTTAGAATCACCTCAGCCTCCCAAAGGCGCAGGATTACAGGCTGAGCCACCGAGCCCGGCTTTAAAGTGATTTCTATAAGCTAAGAAATTTAAAGCTGTCCACTTAAAGTCCAATGGAGAAAATCAAAATATTACACAAGTAGAACTTGTTGATTACTGAAAAATGTCTCCCAGAATAATTTTTTTTTTTTTTTTTGAGTTGGAGTCTCACTCTGTCGCTCTAGGGCACTAGAGGGCAGTGGCACGCTCCCAGCCACCACAGTCTTGACCCGCTGGGCTCTGGCTATCCTTCCACCTCAGCTTTCCAAGTAGCCGGAATTACAGGCGTGCGCTATCACGCCCGACTAATTTTTGATTTATTGTAGAGATGAGGTCTCACCAAGTTGCCCAGGTGGGTCTCAAACCCGTGGGCTCAGGCAATCCACTCACCTCGGCCTCCCAATGCGCTGAGATTACAGGCTGAGATATCAAGCCCGGCCCAGAATAATTTAATTATGGAAAGATCATTAAAACGTGGTTTACCTATGGCTAAAAATTTGTTATTTTCTAGATTTCCCTTTATCTTCATAAATGTCTTTGACTTTGGGGACTGAATGTTCAGAGTTTAAAACTCATATTTTGGGTTTTAAAGTTATAATGTCTAAAACGTCATAGACCCATAGTTTTGATGTTATCAGATCCCTTCTCAAGAGAAAATTATATCATTCTTTGTCCCGCCAAGCTCTAGGAAGTAATATTGTTAATTTTTTTAGGACAGAGTGAAACCTGTCCATTATGAAGCACAGTTCTTAGCTTAATTTCATCCAGTCCTGAGGGGGAGATTAAATAAAAAAGGGATTTTCCTATACCTAGAGTTGCAAAAATACACTATTTTATTGAAAAGCTTTTTAGTAGCAACATGCTAAATGGTCACAAGATGGAGATACTGTTCTATCCAAGATGCTTTTATGTCTGGTGTGCCTTTTTTTATATGCACTTATTTTATGTTATGCTTTTTAAATGAAAAATTGTTAATATTTTTAAATATTTAATATTCATTTAAAATGAACATATACTTGAGATCCCATCTTGTGATGAGTTTTTTACCTAGTTTCCTCACTATAAGATTCTTCTTGCTTAAGCTTTCAATTTTAACAATGTGTGTCACTAGCACTAGTGCTTCTGTCTTATATTTTATATTTTGACTTTCAAATTTGTTCTTATTGAGTTTTATTTTGCTATATTTTTGTTTTTCCTATTACCTACATTTCTTTACCCTGACTCCCAACTTAGCTAGAAGATTTTATTTCTACCACAGGTCTGCATTTTTATAAGTTTCTTTCTTTAAAAACTGAAGTTTCAGACATAGCTAAAAGCATATAAAGAATAATGCAGCCGGGCTCGGTGGCTCAGCCTGTAATCCCACGCCTTTGGGAGGCTGAGGTGAGTGAATTGCCTGAGCCCGCGGGTTCGAGACCCGCCTGGGCAGCGAGACCTCATCTCTACAATAAATCAAAAAATCAGCTGGGTGTGGTGGCGCATGCCTGTAATTCCGGCTACTCGGAAGGCTGAGGCGGAAGGATCGCTGGAGCCCAGCAGGCCGAGGCTGCGGTGGCCGGGAGCGGCCACTGCACTCCAGTCTGGGCAACAGAGTGAGACTCCAACTCAAAAAAAAAAAAAAAGAATAATGCCGCCGGGCTCGGTGGCTCAGCCTGTAATCCTGCGCCTTTGGGAGGCTGAGGTGAGTGGATTGCCTGAGCCCACGGGTTCGAGACCCGCCTGGGCAACATGGCGAGACCTCATCTCTACAATAAATCAAAAATTAGCTGGGTGTGGTAGCGCACGCCTGTAGTTCCGGCTACTCAGAAGGCTGAAGCGGAAGGATCGCTGGAGCCCAGCAGGTCGAGGCTGCGGTGGCCAGGAGCAGCCTCTGCACTCCAGTCTGGGCGATGGAGTGAGACTCCAACTCAAAAAAAAAAAAAAGAATAATGCAAAAAATTTTTATGCATTGATCTTTCTTTTAAAATTATTTTTATTAGCTTTAAAATTATACATATCGATAATTACATATATAATTTTATATGTATATGTGTATATAGTTTTCTTGCCATTTTAAAAGTTCCTTATTTTTACCACAAAAGCCTTTTTAATATTTTGTTTCAGGGAGTGAGGATTGAGGGGGGGATACTTTCTCCCTTTAAAGATGCACACTAATTATACTAGGCTATTATTTCTAAACCATTTTCAGGCATACATAGGTGACCCTTTTTGAATTTTTAGACTGAGTCACATGTTAGCGTTGAATGACGTGGTTCAGACGTGATGTTCTCCTGCCTGTCCACACATAACTCAGTGTACAGGCTCTGATATTTGAGATCTTGGCAAGCTTATGCCTCCTAAAATTGAATTTGCCTGGTTAGGTGGCTCAGTTTCTCTTTTCCATGATTAAAAAAAAGGAGGGGTGGTAGTTGAAGAGCAGTTCCATACAAGCTGAGTAGCCAGGCTGTTAGATTTTCTCATAACTCTCTGCTATGTGTTCAAGAAGTCAGCATTCTCTTAAGCACTGGAATTTTTATCCTGTGCTAAAAAGCCCATGGGCACAAGAAAAAGTAAAAGAAGGGAGTTTTATATTTTAAGAGAGAAGAGAATGGCCTTTTAATCCTCACTACCCAGCAAAAGGGAGGTGTCATTTATTTAGACTCTGATACTGAGGGCCAAGACTTAAAAAGATTTAATAGATCATACGTTAAAAAATGCCATACCTGTTGTCATCCCACATCCATCACTAACCCCTCTTCTATGGTTTGTTTCTGATATAGCCACTGAATAGTATTGGCGTGGTTATAAATAAACTGATTTGGCACAGTCATTCTACCGCTGACTGGCAAAACGTTGAGCCTGACACTTTAGGATGTGTAAATGATCTCATGGCAGAAGTAAAGATTAGACTTGGTTTCTAACCAGGCAGAGAAAGGAGATTTTGTTAGGAAAAATGCTGATCTGTTTTGCAAATTTAAGTACACATAATGCTTTCCTCAGTCTGTAGGTTGAACCATTTACTTGTAGCAGTTCCTTCATAGTTCTAGGCATTTTAGCTTTGGGCTTCCTTGTGCCTTGAATATAGTCTTTATTCTATAAAAAGTAGTATATGTAAGAAAGAACAGTCTTCTGTGTTTGACAGTCTCCAAAATGCATAGATGTAAATGTCTCTTGGATTTGTCTCCTTCCTGCTTAAAAGGGAAAGGAGGCTTTAAAAAAAAACAAAATCAGCCTGGCACAGTGTCTCACACCTGTAATCCCAGCACTTTGAGAAGCCAAGGTGGTAGTGTTGCTTGAGTCCAGGAGTTCGAGACCAGCCTGGGCAGCATAGCTAGGCCTCATCTCCACAAAAAATTACTTGAAAATTAGCCAAGTGTGGTGGTGTATGCCTATAGTCCCTGCTACTTGGGAGGATCACTTAAGCCTAGGAGTTTGAAGTTGTGATGAACCATGATCATGCCATTGCACTCTAGCCTGGGTGACAGAGTGAGACCCCAACTCAGAAAAAATAAATAAAATAAATGTGAAATCATGTAATTATGATAATATTTTTACAATAATATGGCAATAAATAAAAATTTATTCAAATAAAAATGAAGGATTTAAAAGCCACCTGCATCTCATTAAGGAAATGAATCTTCCTTGAAGTAGTTACCAAGTACTGTACCCTAGATAGTCTTGAACTGCCAAAGCATAAAAGTTAATATAAACTTTTTAGGCATTAGTTTCTCATTTTAGCCCACAACATACCCTTCCCCCCACTTTAAAAAATTGCGATAGAATTCACATAACATAAAATTTATCATTAAACTTTATAATTCAGTTTTGAATGTAATCATAATGTTATATAATCATCACCACTATCTAATTCTCAAACATGCGTCACACCAGAAAGAAACCTCTTGCCCTTTAACAATCACTTTCCACTCCTCCATGTCCCCAGCAACCATTACCCTACCTACTGTCTCTATGAATTTGCTATTCTGGACATTTCATATAAATAGAATCATATAGTATATGGCATTTTGTGTCTGACTTCTTTCACTTAGGATATGTTTTCAAAGTTCATCTGTGTTGTAGCTTTATTCATTTTTATGACTGAATGATATTGTATTGTATGGATAGACCACATTTTGTTTATCCTTTTATCAATTGGTGGACATTTGGGTTGTTTCCACTTTTTGATATTAATAAAACTACTATGAACATTTGTGTATAAGTTCTTTTAACATGTTTTCAGTTTTCCTTGAGGTATGTACTTAATAGACTTACTGGGTCGTATTATTCTATGTTTAACTTCTTGAGGAACCTTCCTTCCACTTTTAATGCTATGTAAAGTGTCTGGCATATGGTATTTGATCAACAAATACTGGCTTTTATTGTTGTTATTATTAATGCCTTATCAAATTGTAAAAAATTTTTCTAATGGGTCTCTTTTTTTCTCTGAAGTGCTATAGATAAATGCAAAAATGTACACTTACATGGGTATTTGGGATTTTGTTTGAAATTTAATCTTTTGTGTACACATTTAGGTTCTCCTACATGTTATAATGTGGGAAAAGTCTTTTCTAAAATGTGTTACCTTGTGAAAGAAAGAGTTATGTCCATGGCATTGTTGGAGTAGGCAGTGAGAGCTTCATAGATATGGAAAAAGCTTCCTTTTTTGTTAAACTTTAATTACCGTAGCAAAGCACATTAGACTCTACTCTTTGTCTTCTTTTATTTTTTTTTTTATTTTTTATTTTTTTGAGTTGGAGTCTCACTCTGTTGCCCAGACTGGAGTGCAGTGGCCACTCCCGGCCACCACAGCCTCAACCTGCTGGGCTCCGGCAGCCTTCCAAGTAGCCGGAATTACGGGCGCGCGCTACCACACCCGGCTAATTTTTTGATTTATTGTAGAGATGAGGTCTTGCCTGCCCAGGCGGGTCTCGAACCCGCAGGCTCAGGCAATCCATTCACCTCAGCCTCCCAAAGGCGCGGGATTATAGGCTGAGCCACCGAGCCCGGCTTTCCTTTTATTTTTTAAAATTATTTCCTATGTGCCATTTAAGCCAAAAGGAGTGTAGTAATAATTGAGTTGATGAACTTTATGAATCAGTGTGTCAAATCTCTTAACCATAATCTTAGGAATCTATTAACTTTACTTAGTCATTCTCACAAATATTCTTTTCCACAGTTGCCTCCACTTGCTTCATACAAATGAGCCATGATTCAGAGCCTCAGGAAAATGAAGAGAATAACTTCTCTCAGCCCCAACCTCCTTGCTCTTTTCAAACACATATGCTAATAATAGTTATGTGAGTTTGTACTCCTTATTGTGCTGATTAATACTCATGGCCTGTGAAAGGGAGTGACAGCTCTTGAATTAGTCAGCTGTAGAATGCTGTCAGATGCATATTACTGGTGGCATCTGATGATGGGAAAATATGATTCTTACTCACATGTGCAGTACAGCACAACGTGATCCTTCTTCATGCATTAAAATATATTAAAATGTGGTAATATTTAAAAATTCAAAAATTTCTTTAAGCAAATTAACTGAAATAAAATTTTGAAGGAAAAAGACATTTTTTTACAAATGATTCCAAAGTGCCATGTAAATATATAGTTTTGGTTCTTCAAAATGAAGGCTATCCAAATCAAAATGAATAGCTCTGGGTTTTTTTAAAAGTTAGTGTTCTTTTGGAAGGAAGGCTCTGTCCTCTTGTCCCAAGAGAGCTGGTAGCATGTTTCACGTACCTTTAGAATTCATTCACAGTTAATGCTCCTAGAAGTAACTGACTAGAGACATGAAAATCTCGAGACTAGCCAGGCACGGTGGCTCATGCCTGTAATCCCAGCATTTTGGGAGGTGAATGCAAGAGGATTGCCTGAGTCCAGGGGTTCGAGACCAGCCAAAGATAATCTAACATGTTGACTTCACAGTAACCATTTTGTTAGCCTTATATGAAGACTCAAAATGGACTGTGAAAGAGTTAAGATAATACCTTTAACTACCCTGACAATCTATAGAAAGTGAAAAACACTAGTTATCACCTTTGAATATATATATATATTTTTTGAGTTGGAGTCTTCACTCTGTCGCCCAGACTGGAGTGCAGTGACACACTCTCGGCCACTGCAGCCACGACCTGCTGGGCTCCGGTGATCCTTCCGCCTCAGCCTTCCAAGTAGCCAGAACTACAGGCGCGTGCTACCATGCCCAGCTAATTTTTGATTTGTTGTAGAGACGAGGTCTTGCCAAGTTGCCTGGGCAAATTGGCGAGACCTCACCTCTACAATCAATCAACCAATCAATAAATTAGCCAGGTGTGGTGGCAGGTGCCTGTGGTTCCTGCTACTTGGAAGACTGAGGTGGAAGGATCACCTGAGCCCAGCAGGCAAGGCCGCAGTGGCCATGAATGTGCCACTGTACTCCAGCCAGGACGACAGTGAGACTCATACTCAAAAAAAAAAGAAGAAGAAGAAAAAAGAAAATCTCTAGACTATGTAAAAACAGGACTACAATATAAGAATGGACAACATTCTTCACAGTGAGGGACAATACCAGTCTTAAATTTTAGTCAAAATATATATAGCTAGGTAGTCTCATGTGAAATAAGAACTATCTTTTTTGTAAACTCATTAAAAACGTGTTTTGGCTATTTTCATAGTGTTTTCACAGATTAATGACAAACAGTTCATTGCCCTTAGAGAGCTCTTTTTTTCTTCTTTTTAGAGTCATAGTCTCTATGTCGTCCAGGCTGGAGTGCAGTGTTACACTCACAGCCACTGTAGCCTCCACGTGCTGGGCTCAGGCGATCCATCTGCCTCAGCCTTCCAAGTAGCTGAAACTACAGGCATGTGCCACCACACCTGGCTAATTTACTTTTTATTGTAGAGATGAGGTCTGGCCAAGTTGCCCAAGCTGGTCTCGAATCCCTGGACTCAGGCAGTCCTCTCACTTCAGCCTCCCAAAATGCTGGGATTACAGGTGTGAACCACTATGCCTGGCCTGGATCTCTTTTTTTTTCTGAACTATAACTAGACAGTTCTAGGAGTCTTTAGTAAAATCTAAAGCTCTCTAAGGTACAATTCTGGAGATTCAAAGCATCTGTCTGGGAGACCTAACATTTCTCCTCTGACTTGTTTATTTTTTTATTATTTATTTTTTTATTGGGACCAGGTCTCCACACCATGGCATCCTCCTACTGTGCTCCTGGGCCATTCGCAAGAGGTCACGTCTGTGTGCTGGTGTCCATCCGACTTCACAAAGGTTTGTAAACAAATCTTTGTAGTTGATTTAGAAAGTAGATGATCAGTTTGTAGGTTTTTCTTAGGTTTGATTGAGGGTGATATTGATTTTTATGTTAAAATGAATATTTTAAAGGTCTAAAGACCATCCAGGATCGATATCAGCATTACTCATACATAATATGCTTTTCTTTACCAATAAAGAAATGATGCTACATACTAAGGAATAAGGATGGATCTCTGGTTTCTCGAGTTATTATTTGCTAAATGTAGAATTAATGTAATAAGTTTTTTAATTAAAATTTTGTCTTAAAATCTAAGGTAAAAAAATGTTCGGACCGGGCTCGTGGCTCTGTCTATAATGTCAGCACTTTGGGAGGCTGAGGCAAGTGGATTGCCTGAGCCTGTGGGTTCAAGACCCACCCAGGCAACTTGGCAAGACCTCGTCTCTACAATAAATCAAAAATTAGCTGGGCATGGTAGCACGCACCTGTAGTTCTGGCTACTTGGAAGGCTGAGGCGGAAGGATCACCTGAGCCCAGCAGGTCGTGGCTGCGGTGGCCGAGAGTGTGCCACTGCACTCCAGTCTGGACGACAGAGTGAGACTCCAACTCAAAAAAAAAAAAAAAAATATTCAAAGGTGATAACTAGTCTTTTTCACTTTCTATAGATTGTCAGGGTAGTTAAAGGTATTACCTTAACTCTTTCACAGCCCATTTTGAGTTTTCATATAAGGCTAACAAAATGGTTACTGTGAAGTCAACATGTTAGATTATCTTTGGCTCAACTATGCCACGGATAGGAAGAAATAGGTCTGAAATATTTTAGACCTCTGGAAAGAAGAAAATATGCCCACCTTTTAATTTTTTTTTTTTTTTTGAGTTGGAGACTCACTCTGTCGCCCAGACTAGAGTGCAGTGGCCACTCCCGGCCACCGCAGCCTCGCCTGCTGGGCTCCGGCAATCCTTCCGCCTCAGCCTTCCGAGTAGCTGGAATTACAGGCATGTGCTACCACGCCCGGCTGATTTTTTTGATTTATTGTAGAGATGAGCTCTCGCTGCCCAGGCGGGTCTCGCACATTTTAATTTTTTATAGTGAATATGCTGTATGATATTTAAAAACTGAGAAAAAACCCTACAATGTAAAAAGGCTAGAAACTATGTTTACAAACAAATTTCATATAATAAAGTAGCCCAAGTCCCACTTATTCTCCCACCCTCCATTGACTCTGGTCTTTGATTTATTCTAATTTCCACAGGAAATCTCACTTCTGTGGAGGTCTCCCCTTTCACTTAGAATGTTTGAGGTTTTGTTGCCCATTTTTCCCATCTGTTTTGTTTTTTTTTTTTAGTTGGAGTCTCACTCTGTCACCCAGACTGGAGTGCAGTGGCTACTGCAGCCTTGACCTGCTGGGCTCCGGCGATCCTTCCGCCTCAGCCTTCCAAGTAGCTAGAACTACAGGTGTACACTACCACACTCGGCTAATTTTTTGATTTATTGTAGAGATGAGGTCTCACCAAGTTGCCCAGGCGGGTCTCGAACCCGCAGGTTCAAGCAATTCACTCACCTCGGCCTCCCAAACTGCTGGGATTACAGGCTGAGCCACTGAGCCCAGCCCCATCTGTTTTTTTATCTTCCAGAAACTTCTCATGGTCTGGTCCATATGTGGCAACCCTTCTAGCTTCCAGTATTGCTGTGGATTTCTCTTTATTTTTAAATTCCTATTACCGTTTCTGGTCAACTTTATGACAGACCGTTTTTTAAAAAATGATTACTTTAATCATACATAATTACTTGCCAATGACTTTTTTTCCCACTGAGATCCCATGTAGTTTCCAATGAAATATCTGTTTTTAATATAGAGTATTTTATCTTCATAGAACTTGCTAAGATGAATGATTTTTTAAATTACTTAGTTAATTATGTTACCTTTTTTCAACTATCACGTGTTATCCTTACCTCTGTGCATCTCAACCATTATATATTAATTATCCTTGTTTCCTGTGCTCAAAGGAAATAGCAGGCCTGTTTACCTATACTGATCTAGTGACCACCTTTTTAAAAGTCTCTTATGGCTGAGCATGGTGACTCATGCCTGTAATTCTAGCACTTATGGAGGCCAAGGTGGGGAGAATTGCTCGAGCCCAGGAGTTTAGGGGTAGCCTGGGCAACATAGTGAAACTTGGTCTTTACAAAAAATATGAAAATAAGCCAGGCATGGTGGTGCATGCCTGTAGTCCCAGCTACTCGGGTGACTGAGATGGGAAGATTGCTTGAGCTGAAGCGATCAAGGTTGCAGTGAACTGGGATTATGCCACTGCACTTGACCCTGAGTGACAGAGTGAGAGAGACCCAGTTTCAAAAAAAGTAAAATAAAAGTCTCTTAAAGGTAATTTTGTTCCACACCTAGAGTTAGGGATATAGAATATGCTTTGTAGGTTTTGTTTTTTCCAACTTTTGAAACGAGAAAGATGGGTTTAAATTCTAGCTCTGCTATCTAATTGTGGTGACTTTGGGCAAATAACTTTATTCCCATTTTTCAGTTGAGATTGAACACAAGGCTTTTTATAGTGTGAGAATTAAATAAGATATATATTACCAGATACACAGTAGATGCCTTGTAATTACTGTTAATAAACTACACAGGGACTGTGAGATTCCAAACATTTTATGTTGAGAAGTTAAATTTGTGTATCTTCTTTTGGCCTCCCAGTAAGGAAAGGAAAAAGCTGCCAGTCTCTTGGGGGCCAAGACTTAAGAGAGCGTGTATTCTTTTTTTCTCTCTCTTTAGTGACTGAAATAGAGAAATTATATAAACAAATTCTGGGGAACAGCTCTGGTACCAGTGGCCATTTGCCACAAGCTTTTCAAGCTGAACTTTCTCTGCCATAGAAGGCTTGGGCCCAAGATTGGGAATGGTTAGATATTTTTAAAGGGGCAAAGTTTATTTTTAACTTCTTCCAGCCTAGTGAACGTGTTGTTTTCCCAGATTGCTTCTTTACCTATCTGAAAAAGAATCTCAAAAGGAATGGTTTCATTCTACTTGTCACGGCCTACTAGAGTCATGGGCTAAGCCTGATCTTGCAAACGATCCCATTACTTGAGCAATGTGGAAGAGCTTATGAAATTCAGAGGAAAGTTTTCGAAATTGAATGTTGGTGACATATACTGATTGGTCATTTAACAGAAGAGTAGAAAAGGTGTCTTAATTACATATTTTATATTTGTATAGAAGGTGATAAAGATAATGACTTGCCTAACATCTTGAGAGAACAAAGTGAAATTAGTTTGGTTTTTTAATGGAACTTAAGATTAGGTAAGAAATGACTGGTAATGAAAGATGTCTCAACAGAATGTATATAATGAAGAAACTAGGTAATCTGCTTCTACAAAAATCTGGAATCCTGAAAGCAAGAAGTGAAAGTACATGATCTTTCAGACATCATTTTTTATATCCTATTATATCAGACAAAATAATTATCCCTTAAGACCTATAAGTGTTTTACTTTGTTGTAAATCTTTGAAACTTAACTCTCCTTCTGGCTCTCTTTAGATTGCTACCTGCTCTGATGACAATACACTAAAAATCTGGCGCTTAAATAGAAATTTAGAGGAAAAACCAGGAGATAAACCTTCCACAGTAGGTTGGGCCTCTCAGAAAAAAAAAGAGGCAAGAGCTGGCCTAGGTAAGTATATCATGTACTAAATTTTTCAATGGTTTACTCAGTTAGTCTTATAATATAGAGTAGTGAGCTAGATTTGATCTTATTTTGGTATTTAAGAAAACATCATCTTGGAATTTGTTCTTTTTGATAAATATTTATTGAGCACTGCTATGTTTGTCATTTACACAAGGCACTAGAATATAGTATTGGACTTATTCAGCAAATATTTCTTGAACACTCATTATGTGCTAGACCCTGCTCTTAGTTGTTGACAATTCTGCAATGAACAAAAGAACTGAAAATCCCAGATATGTAAATAGAGCTTACATATTAGTATAAGAGGCAATAAACAATAAAGAATTGAAATAAGTACTGTGTCAAGTAACAGTAAGTGTTGTTGTATTCTATTTTTTAAATAATAGGAATATGGTATTTTGTATGTGGTTGGAAAAATCCTGTAGCGAGTAGGGAAATTGACTGGGTAATTTCCTAGCCAGTGTCCTCAAACATAGGGGAATACTATCTGATGCACAAGTTGAATGTTAGACCTTCATGGATAGTTGATCAATAGCAACTGGAGAGAAGGCGGAATATGTAAGCATGGTGCAGGTGATTAGATAAATGCGATGGTCATATGAAAGTTTTCTTCTGTTCTGGTAGCTTTATTTTTTCAGTGAAATAAGAATCAGGATCACTAACCGAGAATAAGGATGGGGGGAGTGATAGAGATTTTAGAAGATATTATAATAAAGTCTGACATAGTTATCTAGAGAATAGAAGAGTAAATGGTCCAGAGAAATAAAATTGTTGGATAGTAAGAGTCAACTTAAGGCTAGCAGTCATAATTGATAGTGAGCATTCAACATGGTTTTGTGTTTGTGATGTAAGTACAGGTAGAGAGTTGGATTTAACATTTACATTGTAGGTAGAGAGTTGGATTTAACCAGTGATGCTGTTTAGCAAAGCAAGAAAAAGAAGTGAGCAAAGAAGTTGAGGTTGGTTATGATTAACTGTAGGATTTAACCTGCATAAGGAGGGAAGTGAGGACATAGTAGGACTGTCAGTGGATTGAGGGCCCCCAGCAGTAAATGATTGTTAGAAATGGAGTACTGCCGGACTCGATGACTCAGCCTGTAATCCCAGTGCTTTGGGAGGCTGAGGTGAGTGGATTGCCTGAACCCGCGGGTTCAAGACCCACCTGGGCAACTCGGGGAGAACTCATCTCTACAATAAATTAAAAAAAAAATTACCCAGGTGTGGTAGCTCGCGCCTGTAGTTCCAGCTACTCGGAAGGCTGAGGCAGAAGGATCGCCGGAGCCCAGCAGGTCGAGGCTGTAGTGGCCAGGAGCGGCCACTGCACTCCAGTCTGGGTGACAGAGTGAGAGACTCCAACTCAAAAAAAGAAAAAGAAATGGAGTACTAAAGGGGGCTGGGAAAATAGATGGTGAACAGACTGAAATTAAGATAACAGAAGATTTCCGGGTATTAGTAATAATGTCAAGAAATAAATGGCTTAGCTGAGTGAAAGGACAAGATTAATGTAGAAGAAGGTCAAGAAACAGAATTCAAGGGATGGGAAAGATCATTTACATGGATTTTGTAATCACCACAAATTGATGGGAATAGTCACAGTGAAGCAAGAGCAAAAATCTTCAAGGAATGAGCCAGCCTAAGATTACCATACATCTGTTGGTCCTCTTATTATCAGTAGATGTACAGTAATAAGCTTGAAGTTTAAGCTTAAAGGCCCAAGGTATGTAGGAGATTGAAGATGAGAAGGAATATGTGCTAATTATTCTAATGACTCATTTAGTCACTTATAAGATGCAGAACTAGATTTCAGAGGGGTCTTTTGCTCTAAGTCTACTTTCTGTAAAGTCTTTGATGAGGCTGCCTTGTTTTGGGGTTTTTTTTTTTTTTTTTTGCTTTCTTTGAAAATTTTTAATTTTTATTTTATTAGTGCTATAGTTTAATAAGTCGGCTAGTTCTACAGGGGTGAACAAGATAAACAACATTCTCCAGACCCTCTACCCCACAGCTTTCCTCTCCCAGAGGCAACTGCTTTCAAAATTTTTAGCCAATTCTTTGATGTTTGTCTGTTCCTCTAAATAATTTTTCATGTTTCTGTTTTTTTGTGTGTGTTTTCAGTTTTATTCACTTCTTTCCTTTGTGACATCAGGATTTAGCTCTCTTGCTGTGTCCCATCACTACCAAACCTGCACACTCCCCATCCTCCTAATGCACAGTCATGATTCTGGTTAGATCAAGATAAAATTCAGTGGTTTTTAGTATAAAGTCTGACCATGGTTTGTACAGACACAACCATCTTTTTTTTTTTTTTTTTTAATACTGTCAATTTGTGGGTTGGTTGAATCTACAGGTACAAAACCCAAGATAGGGAACTCAGGTTATAGAGGGTCAACTATATTTAGAGTTGTGCTTCATTAACACAATTCAATTCTAGAATATTTTCAACACCTAAAATGAGGATTCTTATTTTTCCATATCTTTGCCAGTATTTGTTATTGTCAGTCTTTTTTTTTTTTAATTTTTTTTTTTTTTTTTGAGTTGGAGTCTCACTCGGTCGCCCAGACTGGAGTGCAGTGGCTGCTCCCGGCCACCGCAGCCTCGCCTGCTGGGCTCCGGCGATCCTTCCACCTCAGCTTTCCGAGTAGCCAGAATTACAGGCATGTGCTACCACGCCCGGCTGATTTTTTGATTTATTGTAGAGATGAGGTCTCGCTGCCCAGGGAGGTCTCAAACCCGCGGGCTCAGTCTTTTTCATTATACCCATCCTAGTGGATATCTCTGTGTAGTTTTGATGTGTATCTTCCTGATGACCAGTGATGTTGAGCATCTTTTCATGTGCTTATTGGCTATTTATTTATATGCTTTCCTTGACGAAATGTCCATGCAAATCTTTTGCCCATATTTTAATGGGTTATTTGACTTTATCACTGAGTTATATGCATTCTTTATATAATCTGGATATAAGTTCCTCATATAATGATTTGCAAATATTTTATTCTGTGTGTTTTCACTTTCTGGTTTTTTGTTTGTTTTGTTGCTTTTTTGGGTTTCTTTTGAGTTGGAGTCTCACTCTGTCACCCAGACTGGAGTGCAGTGGCACGTTCCCAGCCACCGCAGCCTTAACCTGCTGAACTCCAGCAATCCTTCCCGCCTCAGCCTTCCAAGTAGCCAGAACTACAGGTGTTCACTACCATGCCCGATTGATATTTTATTTATTTATTGTGAAGACGAGGTCTTGCCAAGTTACCCGGGTTGGTCTTGAACCCACAGGCTCAGGCAATCCACTCGCCTCAGCCTCCCAAAGTGCTGGGGTTACAGGCTGAGCCACTGAGCCTGGCTATGTTTTCACTTTCTTGATGGTGTCCCATGACACACAAAACTTTATAATTTTGATGAAATTCAGTTTATCTATTTTTTTTGGTCATTGTGCTCTTGATGTTGTATCAGAGAAACCATTGCCTATCCCAAGATCACAAAGATTTTCTCCAGGCCGGGCTCAGTGGCTCAGCCTATAATCCCCGCCCTTTGGGAGGCCAAGGTGAGTGAATTGCCTGAGCCCACAGGTTTGAGTCCTGCCACGGCAACTTGGCGAGACCTTATCTCTACAATAAATCAAAAAAATTAGCCGGGCATGGTAGCGCAGGCCTGTAGTTCCAGCTACTTGGAAGACTGAGGCGGAAAGATCACCAGAGCCCAGCAGGTCGAGGCTGCGGTGGCCATGAGTGTGCCACTGCACTCCAGTCTGAGTGACAGAGTGAGACTCCAACTCAAAAAAAAAGGGGGATCTTCTAGAAGTTTTTTAAGCTTAGAGCGATGATCCAGTTTTAAAAATTTTTATGTATGGTGTAAGTTAGGGATTCAGATTAATGTTTTCACATGTGGATATTTAACTTCGTCAGCATCATTTGTTAAACTATTCTTTATCTCATTAATTTGTTTTGGCACCCTTTCCAAAAATCGGTGACCATACATGAGTTTTTATTTCAAGACTTTCAATTCTGTTATACTAATCTAAATATCTATCCTTTGGTTCCGCATTGTCTTGATTACCATAGTTTTGTAGCTGGTTTTGAAATCTAGAATTCTGAACACCTCAATTTTCTACTTTTATTTCAAAAATTGTTTTGATTATTCTGGGTCTTTCTTATACAAGTTTTAGAATCAACTTATCAATTTCTGCCAAATAGCCAGCTGGGATTTTGATAGTAATTGCATTGACTTGTAGATGTTTGGGGAGTATTGCCATCTTAATAATGTTAAGTCTTCTGATCCATGAACTTAGGATGTCTTTCTACTGCCTATCTTTTTATGTGCTTTTCTCTCTCTGATTTTGGAAAATTATAGAAGAATCATGATGAAAAAGCCACCACGATTCCCTTTACACACACATAATTTTAAATAATATTTCTAGTTATTTTTAGAGATTTTTCTCCTTTATACATAGGGATTCTTTTGAACAGAATCATAGTTATACTGTGTATTTTTTTTATTTCTTGGCTTTTTTTCACTGAATATGATGTTTTAAGCACTTTCTATGTTATCTTTTGTGGAACACTACTTAAAATATTCTACTGAGTAAATGTTCCATAGTTTACCTAAACTGTTTTATTGTAGTTAGAAATTTTGTTTTCAATATTTTAAAAATTGAATTTTTTTTCTCCCTGAATTTAGTGCCCCCCTTCCCATCTCAATAGATTCCCAGAGGTAGAATTCCTGTGTTAATGACTATACCATTTTTAAAATTTATGATGAAAAGTATCTTGCTTTTAACTACATACTTCTCACATGTCATTAGTTATTCTTAATTTTAAGCCAAGTCACCACATATTTACCAAATTTAGATCATAATAATAACATTTATCCATTATGAACTCCTAGCACAATTATTCTAAGAACCTATTTGGATTATCTCATTTAATTTCCAAAATAACTGAAACTAAAAGTCAAGGAGGTTAGACTTGCCTAAGATCACACAGCTGTGAAGTTCTAGTAGTACTAGAGTTTGAACCCTTGCAGTTTGATTCTAGAGCACATGATCAGAACCACTCTGTGGTACTACCTGCTTTAGAACCTAACAGAGCAAAGCAAAGCTCAAGTTAAGACCTGATTGGGAGTTATGCCTAGATTTCTTCATTTCTAGGTGATGCTAGAAATGTGCTCTGAAGGCACTGCAGAGCAACAACCTGACATGGGTGTCAGAGGCTGGCATACTAGCCATTCGACTCTCTAAGCCAGCTTCCAGCAACAGATTGGCTGCTGCTAACCACATTACCATTTGAAAATTATGTTCCTTTGCTTTCCCAAGCTTCTAATTGCCACTCCAATCCTTCCTTGCTGTTCTGGACTGCATAACTTCTCTTCTGGCCCTTTTAACACATTAACTGGAAGGGTTTAAGTGCCAAGGCACAGTCTCTTTTCCCTCTGCCCTACTTTTCCCAGCCAGCATCTGCTCTATTGCTTACTGTTCTTTCACTGTGTTTCAGCCAGAGATCGCACAGCACTGTTGAAACCAGTGATTCTCAATCTTGGCTGGGCTTCAGAACCGCTTGTGGAGCTTTTTAAGTTTGTGTGTCCCCAATGATTGATTCAGTAGGTCTGGGGTGGAGGCCAACTACCTGTATTTTTATAAAGCTCCAGGTAAGTCTGTTATGCAGCCAGGATTGAGGACCTCTGGTTTTGGCATTACTGAGTGACAAAGTTGATTATTGTTATCTTAAAGAGAAGGAAACCTTACCTATTCTATCTCAGGTGCTTGCTTCAGTTTCACAAGTCAGCAAAATAATTATAGAGTCAGTTTTCTGATGCCTAGAACATCACCCTTATCCTTAGCAGTAATGAAATTTAATAAACACTGTTTAATGATTCCTTACTAGGCACTACAAGGAGCACTTAGAAGCACTGGGCCTAAAGATGAGTAAATCGTCATTACCTATCCTCTAGGCTCACAGTCAAGTTTAGGAAGCAGATGCAAAAACTGTAGTACATTTCTCCTAACTGTATAAACAAAGACCTCTGAGACTAACTTCCTCAAGGAGACAGGAGCTCTGTGAGAGAAGAGGAAAGATGTTTGTGAATGCTTCACAATGGAGTTAACATTGTCATCAGAGCTTTGAAACATGAGAAGAATTTCTGCCTGGCAAAGAAGGACTGACTTGGCAAGAAAACCACATGAACGAAGACAGACATGTGACAGTACACAGCTTGTTCAGGAAGCACAAGTAGTCTCCTGTAACAGGATCCAGAAGTAGCATAGTACATGATAAGACTAAAAGGTAGGGTGAGGCCAGATGGCAAACTCTCGCATAGAAAGAAGCTCCAAATTAACTGGTTATTAGTAAAGTCTCTATAATTCTTCAAAGAAACAAACTTTTAGGAAACCTTTAGAGCAATAACCCAGTCTATGCTACTGTGTCATCAGATCTCATACATTGCTTAGGGGCAACAGGGGGTTGATCCACTTAAGTAGATGAAGTACTAAATGATGTACCATATTTAAATTTTATAGGCCAGTGTAATGGCATACTTTGCTGTTACAAATGCAGTGCATCAATGTGTGTTTATATAAATAGATACAAAGGTAAAAGCAAGTTGTAGAACACATACATATAAGTATAGTATATTCATATTTTGGGTTTTTTTAATGATACACCTTTGTATATACTAATGGGCGCATAGAAAATTGTGGAATGCACAGGAATTTAAGAGTGAAATGAGAAAGTTGAAAGAGAAGTTTTCACTTTTCTCCTTCTTTTCTTCTGTACTGTTTGTATTTAACATTAACTCTCATAACTTTTATGGTCTTGTTACTTTTTAAAAAATATTTATATATTACCCAGACTTTCTTAACCTTCAAAGTTAACAAAATCTTCTCTTTGACCCCCATGGTCCACTTCTTTCATCATAACATCCTAAAGAAAGAGGAAATGCCCCAACTTGCCAAACCATAAATTTCCTGCTGACATTATGAGTAAACATTTGTAATGTGTGCCTTGCAAATATTGGAAACCTAGGTACCTAATTTGTCCTTGGCTCAGCTCTTCCTTCTCCCCTAATCCTGCCTTAGAATCAGCATATTGTAAGACCCATACGATTTTAGGGCTTTGCCCTAAATGTATACTTCAACCTACTTAAATAGAACAAATGGCTGTGGCAGCTGTTCAGTGACTGTTGACCTGCACTGAGGAGTGCAGCAAATGAAAACTTCCTTTCCTCCTGAAATAATAACTGTTATCAAGCTCTAGAGGCTGAGTGTGAGAACTGTAACCAAAGACTTCATGGACAGGTCAGTTTGTAGACTTTATCTGTCTCAAGGCAAGACTGCTTTAGTACTAAAAAGCACAAGGCAAAAAAGACAGAGTAATTAACTAATTAAAGTTAGTACTTACAAATCTTTATCCCTGCTAAAAGAGAGATTGCAGTTTTATATCTGCTCATCCTAAGTTCAGTTGCATATAAATCCAAGAGTTACAAGTCAAAGACTTTGTGGCTGAGAGGTAAATAAATACTTTTTCTTATTATTTGAAGATGGGAACTTTATTTCAGAAATCTGGAAACTCAGAAAATGAGAGGATATGATGTGCTATATTTAAATTTGCCTGAATTCTTGTATGTAAGCAAAGGAACAAGTTTACACATAGAGAAGAGTCCTATTCACTAAGTTTGATTTGCTTGACAGAGAGCAAGCATGAGATTCTGAATGTTCCTTGGCATTCTTTGGCTTGTGGGAAATGGTAGTCATTTGTAAAATAAGATGGGAAGCCATGTGATGTCTGGTAACTTTAACAAGTAATTGAGGAGATTGCTTCTTGTGGAGATAAAAGCTGTCTCCATTTAACAGATATGGAAACTGAGTCTGAGAAGATAAAGGGTTGTGTCCAAGTCACATAGTTAGTGATTATGCCAAGTTTTAGTTCTGCGCATTCCTGCTCAAGAGTCCCTGTACAGTCCCTTTCCGCCTTAGCATTGCTCAAGAGTTAGGTACAAGAATGCTAATGGAAGCTTCACTTATGAAACCGAAATCATTAATAACCTGTCTTTGGTGTTGTAATCTTCTGTTGAGGGTTTGTTAACTATATTACAGAATATCTATACTATACCTTAGAATACTTTGTAGCTGTTAAAAATGATAATATAAATCTGTATTAATGTGGGGAATGTTCACGATTTATTAAGAACCAGGTTATTCCTAACCTGGCTCGGTGACTCAGCCTGTAATCCCGCGCCTTTGGGAGGCTGAGGTGAGTGGATTGCCTGAGCCCGTGGGTTTGAGACCCACCTGGGCAGCGAGACCTCATCTCTACAATAAATCAAAATCAGCCGGGCGTAATAGCGCACGCCTATAATTCCAGCTACTTGGAAGGCTGAGGCGGAAGGATCACCGGAGCCCAGCAGGTCAAGGCTGCGGTGACCAGAAGCGGCCACTGCACTCCAGTCTGGGTGACAGAGTGAGACTCCAACTCAAGAAAAAAAGAACCAGGTTATTCCTAACTAAAAAATGGGCAAGGGACCTGAATTGACATTTCTCAAAAGAAGACATACAAATGCTCAACAGGTATATGAAAAACTGCTCAACATCACTAATCATCAGGGAAATGCAAATTAAAACCACAATGAGCTATTACCTCACACCTGTTAAAATAGCTTTTACCAAAAAGACAAAAAGTAACAAGTGTTGGTGAGGATGTACAGAAAAGGAAACCCTCGTACACTGTAAACTAGTGCAGCCATTATAGAAAACAATATGGAGGGTTCTCAAAAAAATAAAAATAGTAGAACTATCATATGATCCAGCAATTCCACTTCTGGGCATACCTAAAGAAACGGTAGCAGTATGTGGAAAAAATATCTGCTCTCATGTCCACTGCAGCATTATTTACAATAGCTAAGATATGAAATCAACCTAAGCATCCATCAACACATGAATGGGCAAAGAAAATGTGGTATATATACACAATGGGGTACTATTCAGCCTTAAAATAGAAAGAAATTTTGTCATTTACAACAGCATGGGTAAACCTGGAGGACATTATGCTAAGAGAAACAAGCCAGACACATACAGATACTACATGATCTCACTTGGAATCTAGAACGGTTGAACTTATAGAAGCAGAGAGTAGTATGGTGGCTACAGGGGTGGGGGGAACAGTTGGAGAGATCTTGGTCAATGGGTTAAAAGTTTCAGTTGAATAGAAGGAATAAGTTCTAGGTTCTGTTGTACAGCATAGTGACTATAGTTAACAATAATGTCTATATACTTTTAAATTGCTAGTAGATTTTAAATGTTCTCACCACAAAAAAAGTGAAGTGATAGATATGTCAATCAACGTGATTTAATCATTTCACAATGAATGAAATGAATTTGAGATAAAAGAAGGTTACTAAGTAGTGTATACATTTTGTTCTCATTTTTGTATAAAAATTTGAGATACATGATATGTATCACGTGCACAAATATAGAAAAAAATGCTAAAATTGGTTTACCTGGATCCTTGACAATTTTCTTCTTTATATTTTTCAGGTTTTTACAAGCATATGTTTTACAGTAGGATAGTTGGGAGGCCAGGAGTTAGGAAAGGGAAATAAAAATGCTAAAAGGGTGTGGTAGGAATCAAATGATTTACATAATCTACTTACTTGTGTATTGACCCTTGGATGATTAAGTTAACTATGATTTTCCTTAGTGAGAATTTAGGGGCTTCCTATGGCTTTCACTTCTGATTTTCATGATCCTCTCTTCTTTTTCAGTAGCAGTAATGAGTAGCCAGAGTACTCCTGCCAAAGCCCCCAGAGTAAAGAGCAGCCCGTCCATTTCTTCCCCGTCATCCGCAGCTTGTACTCCAAGCTGTGCTGGAGACCTCCCTCTTCCTTCAAATACTCCCACTTTCTCTATTAAAACCCCTCCTGCCAAGACCCGGTCTCCCATCAACAGAAGAGGCTCCATTTCTTCTGTCTCTCCCAAGCCACCCATATCTTTCAAGATGTCAATTAGAAACTGGGTCACCCGAACACCTTCTTCATCACCACCCATCACTCCACCTGCTTCTGAGACCAAGCTCACATCTCCAAGAAAAGCTCTTATTCCTGTGAGCCAGAAGTCATCCCAAGCAGAGGCTTGCTCTGAGTCTAGAAATAGAGTAAAGAGGAGGCTAGACTCAAGCTGTCTGGAAAGTGTGAAACAAAAGTGTGTGAAGAGTTGCAACTGTGTAACTGAGCTTGATGGCCAAGTTGAAAATCTTCATTTGGATCTGTGCTGCCTTGTTGGTAACCAGGAAGACCTTAGTAAGGACTCTCTGGGTCCTACCAAATCAAGCAAGATTGAAGGAGCTAGTTCAAGTATCTCAGAGCCTCCTTCTCCTGTTAGTCCTTATGCTTCAGAAAGCTGTGGAACGCTACCTCTTCCTTTGAGACCTTGTGGAGAAGGGTCTGAAGTGGTAGGCAAAGAAAATAGCTCCCCGGAGAATAAAAACTGGTTGTTGGCCATGGCAGCCAAACGGAAGGCTGAGAATTCATCTCCACGAAGTCCATCATCCCAGACACCCAATTCCAGGAGACAGGGTGGAAAGACGTCACCAGGCTCGGTAAGTCAGCAGTGGTGGGAAGATGCATTTCCTAACTTAAAGGGTGCTAGTGGGAAGATACTTTACCTAACTTAAAGGGGACCAAACACAGATCTCTACTCAAGTCAGAATGCTAGAAACAAAAAAAAAGTAAATCTGTTTATTCCTAGGATTGCCAAATTTAGCATATAAAAAAAAAGAACAAATTTTGCATGGGACATATTTTTATGCTAAAAAATTATTTGTTATTTGTCTGAAACTCAAATGTAACAAGATATGCTATATTTTGTCCGTCACCCCTATTTATTTCTGTTAAAATGTCCTGTCAAGGTCTATACTCCTCAGCCCTGTTGCCTGATTCACTAAAGCCTTCCTCATTCTCCAGGATATCAATTCAAAAATATCTCCCCTCTCCTGTTAAACAGTATGCTATCCTCTTTTTATAGATAAAGCTGTTGTTCATGGGAAGGTTGCCAACATCCATAAGCAAATTTCCAGTTTGTAATTACATTTTATGATTATTTAAAATACAGTGAAACTTAGATACTTACAAAACAATCTAAGTGCAGAATGCTTTTTGATTTTTATGACTTCTCCCCAATCCTGTCTAGTCATTTTCCCCACATCAATGTTTTCGGCAACTCTATCTACTCTTTTAAACATTCAGCATAGTTTCACTTAAATTTTTAGGACTCATATTTCATTAATTGACATAATATTTAAACTAGATAATGTTAATAACATATTGCTGGTGGAAATAGTTTTGCGAACCTTGAAAAAAGCATATGACTCATAGTGGTAGAGACAGAAGTAGCTGTGAACATTGGATGAGAACTAGAAATATTTTAAAGGCTACTTATACTCAGTACACAAACTCCAACCAAGATCTTGCTACAGAAAGTGCGGGGGGTGGGGGGGAGCTATAAAGGAGTCTTTTTCAGGGGAACTTGTCTTAGCTATGTATAAGCAGAAGAGTAATTTCAATGAAAATTATTTTCACTAATAATCTTAAAAGCTTTAAAAAGTAGAAGTAGTGTGCTGATCTTAATTTCTTTGACGCTAAAGTTTCTTTAAAATTGTCTTCCTTTATATGATGATAATATAAACAAGAGTAGCAGCTTCTGTTTGAATAGCTTTCTTGCTTGTAAATTGGGGAGGCTGGTTTAGTCACTTCTTTCTTTTTTTTATTCTATATTGATTTTATTTTAAAATTGTGGGATACAGTTAAGGGTTAGGTTTACAAATATGCATCGTTCAGGCACCCTTGTTGATAAGGGGTGTCTCCTCGAGTCATTTATTTCTAAAGGAATTGTGATTGTAACAATTCCTCTTTCATTCCTATTAAGAGACTTAACTAGTAAATATTTTCTATTCACATAAAAAGTCTATGCTTCCCTTCCTTGCATAGCATCTACTAAATTTTTATTGTATTCAGTACAAATCAGCCAAAAAAAAAAGACCTTGCCATTAAAAATATTTGAGACTGAAAGCTGGCTAACTAAATAATCAAATGTCTGGGCTTTCTAACTTAATAGTGATAACTTAGTGATAACTAAATGTAACTTGCTGAGGTAACAGCTTAATATTGTCTTAGGAAATCTCTGAAATCTAAACTTTCTTCTTCTAGGTCACCATTACTCCCAACTCCATGAGGAAGATCTGTACATACTTCCGTAGAAAGTCTCCGGATGACTTCTGTAGTCCTGAACATTCAACAGAATTATAGATTCTAACCTGAATGAGTTAACTGAACTTTGGTCCACTAAAACAATATGAAAAAATACAAGAAAGACTCTATAACTCTGGTCTTTAAGAAAGCTGGCATCTTTTCATTTTTAGAGAAAATCATTTCAACTCTGAAATGCACCTACTCTGGTTATACTACCCTAGTGTATGTGCATCTTTCTCAGGATGAATGCTGTGTTTAAATTTCATAAAGTGAATTTTTCACTCTAACATTTTGAGTGAATAGTCTCCACTTTTTAAATTATGCATCATCTCTATAATAATGACATCCCAGCCCATGGAGGCAAAAACAAGTCGTGTCTCCTGTTATCCTGAAATTTTCTGTGCTCATTGGAAAGTATCTGCCAGCCACAGGATAAGACCTGCCTGCAAAGGCTGACTGCTGAAGAAATCCTCTGCTGAAGACCCTAGTTCTATTCTGCCTCAAACAAGTGTAATTTTATTTTAAATATATCATATTTTCACTACACTTCTGTAGGTTTTTTTGTAAGCATGTGTCAAAATGTGATGTTCATATAAGTACATATATATCAGTTCAGTGTTAAAATACAGTCTCAAGCTAAAGTCATCTTTATTTTAAATGCAGTGATAAAATATCAACTCTTTGGAGAAACTAGGAGAACAACAATAGAAAGCTGTATTCATCTTTTTTTCGCTCAAATATACTTCCCATATGATATTTAAGGTTTCCATATTTTTACCAAACAATCTACATTGCCAGCCCAACATCACTTTCTACAGGAAGGTATGATTTTTGCTATTTACTAAAGGAAGATGTTTTATAAAATCAGTAGTCATATGCTGAAACTGGGGTTTAAATTCAGGTGTGGTACTCGGTTCTCTAGGGACTTCAGTGTTTTAAAAAATAAGTAATCACATTTTAAGAAAAAAGTAATACTTTCATATTGATATTTTTATTAAAGAAGACAGCTCTTAACTGAAAATCTGGAACCTGGAAAATAAATCTTGGCTTTCTCTTCACGTACACAAAAAGCAATAGTCTTCTAGTATGACCCTAAACCAAAAAGTAATGGAATTTTCTCTATATATTCAATACTGAGAGTATATAGACTGACTCTAAATAAATAATGTGCAAAATATCTTAAACATCTCTCCCTTGATCGATAATTATGTATTGATTATCTTAAAATGAACCATTGTTTTATATTTTTCACTTTTGTAACCTCATGGAAAAGAAGCTTTATGACTTAGAAGGGAGTCCCTTTCCAATCATGAAACTTGATTTTAATCCGTATCCCTGAGGACTGTAGACTTTATTTTTGTCATAACTTTATTTTTGTCATGATTTAAAAATCTATTCTTAATGAAAACTCCTTAATTCCTTTGATCTTATAATTAAGCTGTAACAACCAAAACTGCATAGGTTCTCCATGGTTTTGTCTAAGGAAGCCTTAGAATTGCTGTGGTCAAAACCAAGCACACCATAACCTTAACTGAATATTTAGGAAGTCTCCTTACATTTGGTGTTTGATTTTTTTAGTGTTAGGCTGTGGGAAGGTGTTTGTTATGACCAATACCTGCCAATAATGCTGTCAACCTCTCTTGCTTTGAAAGCCAATGGGGGGGGAAATGCATGGAAAAGAAAAAGATCAATAAAGTAAATGATCTTGTTTGTGTCCCTGCACATCTCCTGGCAGCACTACTGAGTGAAATTGGGGTAAATGTGGCTGTCAGAAACTGTGCTGAGAGTCTACTGGGTGTAACATGTCCCACTTGGAAAAGTAGTACTTTAAATGGGTGCCAAAGGTCAAATGTAATGAGATAATAATTATCCCTGCCTGTGTCAGTGTCAGACTTTGAGCCAATCCTGAATAATAAAGGCTTTTACCTTATCTGATGTTCCTTTCTGAGCTTTTTGCATTAACCTAGAAGCAGTGTACACAAAAGAACTTTAGTAGTAATCAAGAATCCCTGCTACTTGTTCATTGAATAAAATTTGTTTATTCTCAAGGTTATAATCTAGTTCAAGCTGAAAGAGGATTTAATAAACTATGTCTTGCTTGGCCAGACCTTGAGCGTTTAAGATGGCTTGGATTACTTGATGAAGGAGGGTGGAGTGATGTAGTTCTTTTTCTAAACAAGTATTTCCAGCCCAAACTTTTCCATTTGAATACATTCCAAGCACTATTGCTACCAATGCTGTATTAGAGTTTCTTTTTGGCTGTTTCAACAGGCCCTCAATTTACTTTAGTGAGGGTTGACTTATTAGTCCCTTAAAATGTCTCTCTTCATCTGGGCTGCACATTTAACTGATGATAAGTCAAGGCCATGTGTAGCTACCCTTGCGTTTCAGTGTTGGGGTGTGGTCAGCTTATGCCCATCCTTGGCACTAATAGCCTAAAACTGCACTAAGACTTTTGGGACACCCTTGTAAAGGAAGCATTTTTAAAAACTCCCAGCACTTTGGGAGGCTGAGGTGGGATGATCCTTTAGGCCAGGAGTTCAAGACCAACCTAGGCAACATAGTGAGATTTCCCCCATCTCCACAGAAAAAAATTTTTTAAATTAGCCAGGCATGGTGCCATGTGCCTGTAGTCCCGGCTACTGGGAAGGCTGAGGCAGGAGGCTTGGTTGAGCCCAGGAGTTTGAGGCTGCAGTGCCACTATACCCTGGGCGACAGAGCGAGACCCTGTCTCTTAAAAAAAAAATTGGCCAGGCTCGGTGGCTCAGCCTGCAATCCCAGGGCTTTGGGAGGCAGAGGTGAGTGGACTGCCTGAGCCCACGGGTTTGAGACCCGCCTGGGCAACTTGGCAAGACCTCATCTCTACAATAAATCAAAAATTAGCCAGGTGTGGTAGCACGCACCAGTAGTTCCAGCTACTCGGAAGGCTGAGGCGGAAGGATCACCGGAGCCCAGCAGGTCGAGGCTGCAGTGGCCAGGAGTGGCCAATGCACTCCAGTCTGAGTGACAGAGTGAGACTCCGACTCAAAAAAAAATTGCAGTATGGTTGACTGAAGACAAACTTTTTCAAAGTGTGTGAGTATTGTTTTAACTCACAGCTTGAAATTAGCCTAAGGCCATGTTCTTAACTTTGGTCACATGTGGGCTCAACAAATGCTTTTTGAGAGCCTATCATAGTAGACACACTAATGTCTGTTTTTCTGCTTTTCCTAGTCCCAGATTTCCTTTCACATTGCTCTTAAAGTAAAAGCCAAGTAGTCTCACAGAGAATCGATTCCACAATTAGGCAGTGCGGGCAACATCTTACAAATGTCAGAAAGGAGATTGAGTGAGAATGTTGTACTAGAAAACTGAGTTAATTTCCTCCTGATGGCAATTCAACATAGGTGGCTTCTGCCTCCGACTTCTATAAAGGGCCCAATTGAGTTCTTGTCAGTAGATCTCACTACTTATACAGGGCTTGGTGGGGAATTCTTTGCCTGACCTAGGTTTAGATCATGCCATGTTAGGGATTAACCAGTTACTCATTAAGTTCTTGAGGATTACAGACATGCCTGCATTGTGTATCAGCTCTCTAGATTCTGGCTGGAGGTTATAGGCAGGCTGAACACAATGTTGGACTTGTGAGTTTAATGCTTTCCTAGATCTGGTGCCAGGAATACAAACCTAACTCTTTAAAAGGCAACCATTTTGTTTAAAGTGGTAGAAAAACCTGTTTTATTTCTGAGCTATGTTTAAGTGCGTGCAAAAAAGTACAAGGGTTGTTAAGGAATGATGTAAGGTAAATTCAGCCTTTAAAAAAATCACCTGAGCATATTAAGCAGCTTGTTCATATCAGTATGCCAGCAGCAAGTATATATACATCCCAGATGAGATATATATTATTAAAGAATAGGCTTATTTGATCCCCAAACCTCATCCCTCCCACTTCCTTGATAAGCCGGGAAGGAGGATTTCTAGGATATATAACCAGGTTCTTTATTTTGAATTTTGAAAGTTTAGTAATTCCATTTATACTCCATCTCTCTATTTGTACTTAATTTGCTTAACTTGCCACATGCCCCCTTTCTGTCTTGACATTCTAAATTGTATCCAAGCCATTTTGTGGAATATGAGCAACACATTTCAAAATGCCTTTGATTGGAAGGTGTTCAATTAAGTTGGCATTTATTCATCACTTGGGTGCCAAGCCCTAGGTGCGGCAGAGTCCTTCCCTTTATTTTCAGTTGTCAAAAGAGTTGCTATCTGTGATACTTCAGTAGGCCAAAGTCAGCATTTGCTAGAAGCAGGCAAAGATCAGATATTCAAGTCCTTTGAATGAAGTTGTTTGTGAGCAGTTGTTATGTAGCAAATACTGTCTAGATGGAGGCTTTTTTTTCTCCCCCAAATTGAATTCAGCTGCTGCTTAGAGCACCTTTAATTTCTCAAAGTGCTTTTTGAATACATGTTTTTATTCTTTACAAGGTTAATAATGGTGGGAAAGCTGGGCTCGGTGGCTCAGCCTGTAATCCCGCGCTTTGGGAGGCTGAGGTGAGTGGATTGCCTGAGCCCGAGGGTTCGAGACCCACCTGGGCAACTTGGCAAGATCTCATCTCTACAATAAATAAAACAATCAGCCGGGCATGGTAGCACGTGCCTGTAATTCCGGCTACTCAGAAGGCTGAGGCGGAAGGATTGTCGGAGCCCAGCAGGTCCAGGCTGCGGTGGCCGGGAGCAGCCACTGCACTCCAGTCTGGGCAACAGAGTGAGACTCCAACTCAAAAAATAATAATAATAATAGTGACAAACGTGGTCTCTAGTGCCGAACTGTCTAGCTTTGAATCCAAGCCCTAGTTGTGTGACCTTGGGCAAGTTACTTAACCTCTCTGTGAAGCAGTTTCCTGTCTGTAAAATAGGGTTATGTGGGGGTTTTAATGTAAAACTCTTAGGACAGTGCCTGGCACATAATAGCTAACATTTATTGAACAGTTAGTTAGCTGTTATTCTCATAAAGTATAGAGGGCAGAGATTATGATCATAGTTGGTAAATGAATATAAAAGTTTAAATAACTCATTCCTGTTCCCTTTCCACTAGAGCTGCAGTCTGTGAAGGTATTGGAACTAAATCAGAATCAACTGGTAACCAAATAAGTAAATAAATATCTGAACCTCTAAATCAGAATCACCTGGTAGATAGATAGAGGATAGATAGATAGATAGATAGATAGATAGATAGATAGATAGATAGATGTTGCCTGAGTCTCCCCAGCACTTTTCAAATGAAGCAAATAGGCCTGTGGGGGGAAATCTCTAGTTCCCCAAGTGTTTGAGATTCATGGCTTTGTCCCACCAGGTACACATGAAAATTACAGAGATTATTTCATATGTGGCCTCGGCCACTGTTTAAAGAGGCTGTAATCTGCAGATCTGTATCCTGGACTCAAGCAAACCAAAGCTTTTGCTTATACAAAGCCCGCCCTCCCATTTCCTGAAGCTGCTGGACTCTGCTACATTGTTTAAGATGTGGTCACCTTTAGGGTGGAAGCTGCAGCTGCTGGTCCGCAGAGCTACCCTCCATCCCTTGTTAGACTATTGTGCTTTCTGGCCAGTGAGTAGGCAAATACAATAAGAGGTAAAGCTCAAAACAGACCGTGCTGCTCTGGTAGGAGCAGAACACAAAAGAAGATTCCATCATTGGATTGCTGAGTATTATGTGGATTCTAGTTTCTTTGCTGTTACTTGATTTGGGCTGCTCTTTGTGATGCCAATAATACTTATTGCCATTGTCACACGGATGTAGAAATTCTAGCCCTAAAAGTTTCCTTGACATTTTGGTGGATAAACCCAATATTGGGATTTCAGTTGACATCTGAGCATCAAGTTTATGCTGCCACTGATGCTGTTAGGGACCCAGGTTTCTAATTTACAGGAACTTACAGAATGTGGCATGCTCTTATTAGGAGCTGGCATCTGCCCCTCTGCAGACGGTCCTGCCGCCTTCATGGGTTTGTGCCAAAGTTATCAATTCAAATGAAGATGTTATGGGCTGATTTTTATTCCCTCTGATAACAGCATTGCTCACTTCTGAAGCCACGGTCTAAAAGTAATTATACAAATCAGCCCTTTCCTCTACCAATGTTACTAGATGATATAGGTTACTGAAACAAGAAACTATGAACCATCTGGCCTTGCTATGTTGACTTGGAGTTAGAAAATATTGTTATAGCGCATCACTTGGTAATCACTCAGCTCAACTCTTAATGTCTCTTCCACCTTCTTCCCATCCCCTGTTCCTGTAATGTGCTCAAACACAGTTTTCTGAGAATTATTTGAAAAAAAATAAGAGGAGAATTTGTTAAATGTAACTGTGAAATAACTTATTAGTGGTTCAGGAACTGAAAAATTAAAATTCAGTGGACATTTTTATCCCTATAATGAGTCAATCATTAGTGTCAAGTTGGAAATGCTGCTTCCTCAAAAGCCTTCTTGGGTTTAGACAGCTTTATATGAGCGTAGGAGATTCAAAGTCCAGAAGTCAATGTCTTCACAAAGAGATTGACTAGAAGACAAGTTGAAATGAACATTGATAACTTGTGGGTGGTTATGATAAACATTTCTCAGCTCCCTAATTAGGTAATGAGGTATTGGACTTGAACTGCTGCACCTGTAATTAATTATCTGACTTCAGAAAACCATTTCCTAAAACCAAGAAATGTAAGTGACAATGCCTGGAGTTATACATGGAGAACCTGAAGGATAAGGAAAATCAGAATTTGGTTTCTTTAATGTTTAGAAATGGTCTCTGTTCCAGCCGGCTCTCCAGTACAATGAATTGCACAAAGAGAGGATGCTGTGCAGAGCTGCTTGTTAATTTGACTTATCCTGTAGTGTCCTCTTGCCTTCCTGTTTACTTCAACAGCATTTCTAATCCCATTTATTTTCTCCTTTTTCACGTCATTTTGGCCACCAAACTCAGTAGAGTAGTGCATGAAACCAAGGTTGTGGGTTGAATTCCCAAATGGGCCAATGCATTTCATTCTGTGTGTTCGGTGGCCATAGGCAACATCTCACATGCCTACTGTGGCCAGTCATTCCACGAGAAGGGGTAGACAGAGTGTAGAC